TTAATTGACGTTTTATTTTATAATAAGAAAAAATAAATAAAACATCATTTAATAAACATACTTAAATTAAAAGATTTGACAATCAAAATTCACTTTAAAATTTTTCTTTTAGATAAAAATTACATACTACGATATTTTTTTTTATAATATATTTTATAGCATCATATTATACTTACAGCATTTCATTGATATTTGTTTGGAAGTAAACTATATTTTTTTGTAATTATTCTTTCTTAATAATATTTTAGTGCTATCTAGTGATGAGTAGTATAAACTAATAGTGTATTATATTTTTAAATGTTTTCAATAGTTATGGGTCGGTTATTTTAGCTTCGATGCGAAGCTGAGAAGGTATTGGTTTTACTAAGATGTGTTTTTTTTTTTTGTGTCTGTTACCACTTTTTCTCAGCTCTCACCCAACCGATTTCTTTCAATGATACGTCAAAAGATCACAAATCGTATCTAATCGAAGACATTACCCTCAAAAATTGAAAAAATTCCCCTCGTCCCTCGTAAATGGGGGAAACCTCCAAAAAAATTACAATTTTAAAAATCGCTAATTTTCGAAATTTTTTCAATTTTTTTTACTAAAAACTGCCGTAACTTTTTTAAAAATGAACATATCAATATAATTTTTTTTTATATAGATGCATGATATCATTATCTTTCATTTGGTATATTTTTTTTATAAATCTGTCTTTTTACCTGCTCACAGGAAGGGATTTAAAATGATAACTTTTTCACAAAAAATTAACTTTTGAAAGTGTTACGTGAAGTCTGACACTTTTATATATACCTTAAATTAAAGCTAATGTAATATACTTTATCATGAAAAAAAAAATGCGGACTTTATTTTATCTTCAGGCTGAAAATGGCTACCGGAATGCTATTTTTGTGTGAAAATGTTCGATTTTGTATTTTCCATTTTTAACTTTATTATGCTATAACTTTTTGAAAAATGTATGGATCATTACAATTTTTTTATGAGAAGTAGTATTTATATAAATCTTTTATTCGACATACTTTTTTTTTAAATCGGACCAATTCCCTTAATACAGGAGGGATTCAAAACATTAAAATGCGTATAGAAAGTAGAACTTTTTCAACTTAACTTTTGAAAGTGTTCTGGAAGGTCTGAACTTTTATATATATCTTAAATTAAAGTTAATGTAATATACTTTATAATGGTAAAAAAAAATTTCGGACTTTATTTTATCTTCATGGTGAAAACAGACATTAAACTTAATAAAAAAAAACCCAGCACAGGGGGTCGCGGCACAGTGGTGACGTGGCATAGTTGGATCAAGTATAATGATATCTGACAGTGATTAAAATCACTATCAAAAAAAAACGCTTCGATGCAAATCTTTAGATAGTGTTTAATTTTAAAAAATTGGTGGATTATTCCAAAAGCTTCATAAACTGCTAGTTCCTTATTAATATCCTGATTAAGATAAAGTATGTCGAATGAAAAAGGGATTATTAAAAAATAGTATTTCCCATAAAAAAATTATATTGATCAATACACTTTTCAATAAGTTATAG